TATAACCTATGTTCAAATAAAGTTATACATAAATTAGTACTGTTAAACCAAGAATCGGCTATAACTGTTCTGCCACTATTAAACTATGACTCTGCCAAACACAATACAGTTGCTACAGTAGGAGGGTAATGATTTGAAAATTTTTTTTTTTTAGAGTATTCAGTAGATTCTGCAGGATCAAGTTGCAAAAACAAATTAGTCTGAGCATCTGCGAGGGCCTTAAATTTACAACCAATAGGATAGGGTTTTCTTGGAATTTTTTTTTGAAATAGACCTTTATCCTTTTGACCCATCTATTAGCACATTAATTCGTCTATACACAGGTAAGTACCAGGCATGATAGCTTTACTAAGATTGTCATTAAATGCATCGTGAAATTGTTATATATCATAAAACAGATCATCATCCTTAGACCTATCAGTTAATGATAGATATTTTATAATTTCTCAAAAACGCTTATGAAAAATATATTAGCCAAGTGCTAATATAACACCTTCTATTTCAGATCTAGTAGACCAGTAATCATTAATATCAGCACATCTAACAAAAATCATTATTATTAAAATGCCTATAAAGCGCATAAATTTTACTCAAATTAGATCTTGCCATACTTTTTCACTTGCACATGCGTATTTATTAGTAGATGGTATGACTACTGTCATAATATATTCAATAGGCAAAAATCGCTCGAAAAACTGTCTAGGCGATGTATATCTAATATCAGTAATTTTTACAACCGGTTTACTAGAATAAGACCGAAAAATTTGACGTGAATCAACAGTAACAACTGTAGTAGTCCATCCCATATTATCTCTATTATTCACAGTTACTATTTCTTCATCACTTTGACTGCTACTACTTTTACTTGAAATGTTTATTTCATATTCATTAACAAACTCCTCAGACTCGTCAAACTTGTTAGACTCATAATCATTATTATTTGAATATTCATTCGTATCTACATTTGATACAAACTTCATATGAGCTACTGAAATATCGATTTTAGTTTCTGGTTGCTGATCAATGCTTATTATCTAATGATTAATACCAGGAGCAGGCCGCAAAACTGTTGCAAGCAGTCTCATAGTCTTCCATATATGTTCTAATAATAGATAGGCGATAGATTCACCCACCACAGAGCCTAGCACAGAAACCTTAAAGCTTTCTTTAATTTTTGGTGAAATTGGTGCCATCTTTTTTTTTATTTTTTTATTTTTTTATTTTATTTTTTTTTATTTTTTATTTTTTTTTATTTTTTTTAAACATCTGAAGATTAAATTGTTTGTTAAAATATTTATACCTTCTTGATACTTAGATAAGTATATTGTTTGTTATGATTTGTTAAAAATATTTATATATTTTTCGACACTAACTATTTGCACTTATTTTTTTTTCTTTAATATTTTATATATGTAAAAAAATTAATATAAGTGTGATCTATTTTATTAAGCGATTTTTTTATTTTATATAATTCTGATATTGCTCATATATCAGATAATATCATCATAATTACAAATTAGTGTAGCACTGCCTCATTATGTAACAATACATTAACTTTAATTTTTTTTAATACGTATTAATATTTTATACGTACTAATTTGTACTAATATATCTTGCACGATATTATTATGAATTCTAATCACATGCCACAAACGGTTTTGCACAATATTATCTCATGCGAAATACGTAAAATATATAGCTTATTTTGTATAACTTGTTATTTTGAATTTGGATACTATTTTGAAACTATATATACTATTTAAAGAGCTCAGTCTTCAAATAATACCTATGAATTAATAATTGCTACAGAAGTAGCAAAATTCTAAGAAAAAAGATCCTGTGAAATATAGTTCGCCTTCCTTATACGTAAAAATATTAATTGCTTTAACAAGTTAAATAACCCAATTTGATCTTATTAAAATTTAATATATAGACTAGCAAAAAGATCCCAATTTTAAATAAACAATTTAATTAAATTATTAATCAGGAAATTGCAGATACTGTACTTTTTAGAATATTAGATTTTTCAAATTAAAATGGCAGTATTTAGAATGCAAGCACACTACTTCTTTTTGATCAAATAATATGAACTAGTTAACCAAACAAAGTATTATTATGTGTAAAAATGTGAATTTGAAATAAAAACCAGGATTGCATAAAAGTTGAGTAATAATATAATGAGTATCTGTATAACAAAAAAAAATATCAAACTACTAGTGCAAGGAATAAAATACTTATTATAGAAAAACAAACTCTTTATTATCGCTATTTTCAAAATGGTTGAGAATAGTAATATTTTTTTAAAAAAAAATTTTCTTGCAAATACCAAACAATTGAATACCCGATTAGTTTAGAATATTGATTAAAAATTGATTTCTAACTATGAAATAGTAATTATTATATTAAACAATTACTTGCTTATTTATCATTAAATAGAAATCGATCTTTGATCAATATGATCAATGTTCTAAACTAATCGAATATTCAATTGTTCGGGTATTCACAAGAAAATTTTTTTTGAAAATATTGCTATTCTCAACCATTTTGAAAACAGCGATAATATAATAGCGTAAAATAAACTTTCACACATTCAAGAAAATTTGTTAGCAATGTGAAAAAAGAATATCTATATAAAAAAAAATCTCAGAATTCTTATCTTCTAATATAAAATTTAATCTTTATACTTTTTGTATTATAGGTTTGATCGACCAATTCATATATTTTGATCTATTGTTGATATCTTGTAATCAATTAATTAAATCTTGATAATTTTGATACCATTCAAATCATTTTAATGAGATAATTCGATTAGTACCAATAGTGAAATGATGGGAAAAATTAGTAAACCCAAAATTATCAAAATATCAATAATAGAACAAAATATATAAATTTGATTGAAATACGAATTTGGTCAATCAAACCTGTAATAAAAATAGATTAGAAAATTAATTAAAATTTTATATATAATATAAAAAAAAATTTAGTATGTAAAAAAATCATCTTATATTCTTATACAAATAAAACTCTCAAATTCATAATATTATGCAATCTCAACCACTACCTGGTTTTGCTCTTCCCAACATGTCAACCTATGATCATCGTTAGACTGGGTTTTGGTGTTCTTCAGAAAAAGGTACAGACAATAGATATACGGCTAAGTGTTTTTATTATAAATCTAAGCTATCTGAAAGGCTCAAAAAGCTTCATAGTCATGCTATTGCATGTGGTAAATGGCCTGTTACTGCGAAGAATAGTTATATTCAAAAAGCTACAAGTTCTACTACTAAATCTCGTAAAAATAAAAAAAATTTTAATTAGTTCAGACCAAGAACAATCAGAGTATATTATTAATTACAAATAATTTATTAATATATAAAAAAATATTTAGCTAACAAAGTTTTTGTAGTTCGAATGATAGCTCTAATAGTCTCTCTTCACCTGCATTAAAACATCAAGAAAATTTAGTGAATTGGATTATCAAGTCAATCTCGCAAGATAAACAATTCAAACTTGACAAAAAGTTACTCGATACTATTATTTATAGAAACCTTCTATTTAAAATAGCCAAAAACCCTTATTTTCTAGAATTCTTTAATAAACTAGCCCCAAATTATTGCTTACCCTCTCCTGAAATATTAAGCAATAAAATTCTTAACAATTCGTTTTCAATTTACCTAAATAATAAGTTCAAAGTAATGTTCTCTCTTATTGACATTACTATTGCTTTAGATGGATAGCAAGACGTATCTTGAAATTCTATTTATGGTTTTATAGTACTAAAAGAAGAACAAGAACATATTTTAGATATTATTAATCTATTGACAAATCATCATACTGCAGTTTTTCTTCAAGAAAAAGTCAAAAAAGTTCTTGAATTAAATTTGGTCTCTATTAATTTTATTATTGTCTGCGTAATAGATAATCCTTCGGTTATAGTTAAAATGAGAAATAATCTTAGAAATAAATATCCAAATATAATTCTAATCCGCTGTTGTCTCCACTCTTTTAATTTAATTGCCAAAGATATTTCTTCTTACTAACCTTTACTTGCGGTTATTAAAAATAACCAAAAATATTAACTTTTTTTATATCTTCCTATATCTGGCTTAAAACGTTACAAGATTGACAAAAACAAGAAAACGTAGCTCATTCTCTTACAATATTTTGTGAAACCAGATGGTACTCCCTCATGAAAGTTAGTTTAGGTGTAAAAGTCTTCGAAAAAGGATTTACTTGATATATTGATCTTAGCGAAACTAACAATTATCCTATAATTAAAACAAAGATTCAAGATATTGTTAGAAATCATCATCATTTTGCTAATAACAACACATTAGTTGCAGTGCTTATTCTTGTCGTGGATGCTATGGTCGTCTTGAATCAAAAAAAACTATATTAGCTGATATTTTTAAAGAATTGTTAAATATTTATCTTACTATTTTAAGAGCCAATATTCCAATTGATAGTTTTAAAGATCATGCATTAGCAGCTATTAACAAATGAGCATAGGAGTTTTCTGATAATATTTATTTTATTGCTCTTTTTCTGTCTCCATATTACAAAAGAATCGCAATATCGAAAAAATGTCTGGTGATTTAATAATTAGAGTTTCATTAGAGTTAGCAAAAGCTTGGTATTTTGATAAAAGAGAAACAACTCTTTTACTTGAGGAGTTTATCAATTATAAAAATGGAGACACTCCTTTTGATACTTACCAAAATATTGGTGATATTAATCCTAAAATCTTCTGAAAACAATTTTCTGAAGGTTCTCTACTTTTACGACGATTTGCTATAAAGGTTTTTTCGATTGTTCCGCATATAGCAGCCATTGAACACCTATTTTCTAGCTTAAAACTAGTGAAAACAAAGTTTCAAAACAGAATATCTACCGATTTAATGAAAATACTTGGGATACTTCGCTATAATCTTCAACAAAAACTACCTGAACTATAAAAAAAAAAGACTAAAAATCTAATCTCATCTACAAATCTTGTAAATATGACAAATATTGACGAAGATTCTGGTATTGATCTTTTCGAGAAAAAAGAATTCAAAGAGCCTCTAGAATTTGAAGTTGAAGCAGTAAATATTGCTATAGATAGTAAGTTAGTAATAGATAAATTCTTTAATATTGATATTTTTGAACAACAAGGGCAAGAAGTTGTTGATAAAAGTTCAACGATTCATCAAAATTCTATTAATACTAAAGATTGGTCATTTGATGATATTTTTTCTCAATCTGAAATTGAATAAAATTGTAATTAGTATATATTAGTAAATTAAATAAAATATTCGAATAAAAAGTTTTTATTATGTATCTTAATTATATACCTGTTACTCTTTGGCTAGCTACTTTGATTATTTTGTATATCGCTTAGAATTAGAATCTTCGCACAAATCATTATTTCTCAATACAAACGTTATTTTAAATTACAGTATAAAAAAGGCGAGTATAATGTAAAAAGCAGCAGTAATATAGATTTTGATCCTGAAAGTCTTGTCAATACTATCTTAAATGAACTAGTCGATTAGTATAACAAATATCATCTTTGCTATTTTTGTGATATTTTAAGTTTAAATATTTCTAATTAATTTAGTTTTGAATTATTAGTAATATGAAAGATCACTTGCAAACCTGACTAAATTATTGAAAATTGAATCAAATGCTATGTTTTTTAAAAAACAGATGAAACAATATAATTCAAATAATTATTTTTGAATTAAATATTTTTTAGAAAATTACAGTATTAATAAATAAAGATGCTTTTTTTTGATTACTTTGAAATTATGTAATTTGGTTATTACAGCTATTTTTATACATAATTCCTGAAAATCATTTGGCCAATTTTTATCAGACATTCCAAGAATAATTAGATCATATATTATAAACTCAGTAATTTTGACTAAAATACATTTACACAAATATGATAGAAAAAATTTCAGAAAAGTTGAATTTTTTACGATTTTGTAAATGCAATAGCATACATTATTAAATATTACGCATGTGTCAAAATTTTCAGCACATATCTAATGTTGCAATACAAGTAAATTTTATAGTTGCAGCACAAGTTATATTTTACGGCAAATATCAAATATTACGACAAATGTCAAATGTTATAGCACAAGTTAAATGTTATGGCACACGTCAAGTGTTATAGCACATGTTAGGTGTTATAGCAAACGTTAAATATTATAACAAATATCAAATATTACGGCACATGTTAGGTATTACGGCAAACGTTAGTTATGGTTTTGTGATGTATCATCACGTCTTTGAGTTATATTTAATTGATATTAAGATCAGTTACAATACTGGCATATGTCTGCATCTATATTATTGGCCCACTACATTTTTTTGAGAATTTTTTGTAAAAAGTGGGTATTTCAGTTTATCTCTCCAAAAGATCGATATTATGTATACCAAAATAGTTGATATTGTTTATTATCTAAATTGATATAACAGAACAACAAACATGTTAAGTAGGATGTCTGACACAGATTTAGATTAATAGCATGCCACGTGGCATGCTATTTTTTTTGGACATGCCACTAGGTGTTTGGCACAGATTTAGATAAATGGTATATCATTGGCATGCCATTTTTTTTGGGCATGCCATGGCATGCCACTAGATATCTGGCAAACTACCCCAGTATCATCATCAAAAATAGCACTTTCACATAATGATCTATATTGATTAGCCAATAATTAATCACTATTTAGTGTAATGTAATATGATTGCAAAGATCCACGAACTTAAAAGTTTTTTCGGTGATCACGTGAAAGTGATATTTTTAATGGCAATTGGCAATCACACAATGTTACACTGTTAATAATTAATAATACTTTATTTCAACGAATTTGTAATTACATGTTTGCGATATTACAAGATTAAAATTCAATATACTACATAGTAATTCTTTTTACTTATGTTTTTTAAAATATCGAATATGACTGTTTTATAAAAGAGGGCTTCTACTTATTATATAATTATAACCCCCTTGGGGTTGTCAATTGACTATTTTCAAGAGTTCCAAAGTCAGTTATTTGACAATTACAAAAATTAAAGTAATTAATAAATAATTATATAAATTTTG